CTTTAACAAGTAAGTGACTGCTTATTTTTCAAAACAACAAAAATTTGTTAATAACACATGGCGGGATAAAATCTTCCATATGTCATTAGACACGCGCACTATAAAATCTCTAAGTCTCAGATTTATGCAAAGAGCAGGCAACGTCGCATACGACGTTCGTGTACAATCTGGCAACCTGACATAAATCAACCGTGTTGCCGTATGGATAGCACGTGACAAAGCATTCTTCAATGTGTATGTTATGTGATGGATACTCGTGAAATAGGGTATACTTTTCACGCATTCATATGTGTTTCAGTTATAGAAAATTAGTCAAGCTCACTGAAATAACGTGTGATTCTAACACCTCTGCTGCCTCTTCAATCACGACAATGGGGAATTTCACGCTCTCCAAACTATCGCGCATTCTGGCTGCGCAGGTTGTAGTCATTCCTATGACTTTCATTTTTTTCATAAGTCTTATATTGTCTGGCGAACTGACTGAGTCGAACCTCATATACGCTTTCTTGTAGTCAGCGATGGCACTGGAAATATATGGCGATTAAAAATTTCATTAGAACATGGATCACAGATTTTATAAAATTTTCTCATTGGAAATATTGGACTTTGTAGGGAAAAAATTCTATTTTCGTCTCCCACTGAAACCTGGTATACTCACGTAAGTTGTTCACCTCTTATGCCCAAAAGTGGTGAAGAAGTATTACAATTGCGAAAAATTTCGAAATTGAGACACGAGGGTCGTCTCAAAAATACGCATCTTTGCCGCGCGTGATGCTCTGATTCCGAAGTTTTTTAATCTCAAAGGGAAGCTTATTATAGACTTTTATAGTCACAATCAGGTGGTTTTTAAAACATTGTTAATGTGATGTGTGGAGTGACAAATTATTTATTTTGGAAACTTTACAATCCTGTTAAATGTTAAATCGCAATAAGCTTATATGAAGTTTTCTTATTGAAATGAAATGGACCCAAAAATCGCCGCCTTAGATACGAAGGGATTTTAGAAAGTCTTCTCTTAGGAAATCCAAAATAGAAGACTTTGTGCATTCAGTTAACTTGGGACGGTGATTTTGAAAAAATTTCACGAACAAATCAAACTCCCCCGCAAAAAATATTAGTGGTCGATCTCAATATCTCTAGGTTATGGCCCCCATGATCCCCCTATTGTCTTTTTCACGAGTATGCATCACGGTACGATAACATCTGATTATTTAGTAATATTTCAAAATTCCCCATATCGACAAATGACATAATTCTGACAGATCTGTCAACGGCAGGTAGACAGCCGTATTTTGTTTTGGTTTTTGGTACGCTACAGATTCATTTTGTACTTGCTAATAACTCTTTTATTTGAAAATTCCATTTGCGTACAAATTTACTAGATTTACACCCGATTCATTATTTATTGGCTACGTTACAGACCAATACAAATATGTCACTAGCTGATCAGCTGTTCACCTCAGTAGACGTCAAAATGTGATGGATACTCGTGAAATAGGGTTTAGATTCTTCTTTAATAGCAGTCGCCAGTTGATTTCACTGAGAACATTCCCTAACAGAAATAGCACATTTTACAAATACCAACCTATCAATTTTTACATGAAGTTTATCGACATGTCCTTTCAGAAAAGTTTTGTAAATTTGCCACCGTTTAGGAAGAGGCATTTTAAATGGATCCTCATATTCATCTGCTGTCAGTTGATTAATGTGCAACGGAGGTAAGGTTGACATATAACCCTAAAAAAAAACATTGCTTGGAAGGTGGAATACGTTATGTTATTAATCAATAGTAAATTCTAGCATCACATTTTTAGCGGTTTGAAGCCGAATGATCTCATAGCACGACCTATGAGACACCAGCAAAAACAAAGACGCCAACAAAGGGGACAGAGACTCTGTCGATATAATTATCGGACATCATACTTATCACATCCACTGAAATTATACTTATAATTTCATTGAGAACATCTTTTAGATTATTGTGAAAGGGAAATTAAAAAGCTATTGCGAAAGTAAATCTATAGTATCTGTAGCACAATTTGGATTTCGAAAAAACTCAACCACCATGTAAGCACTTCTCACCTTATTAGAGGAAGTACTGGATAATATAGAAGATAACTCTTACACTATATGTATACATTTGTGACAACGCAGGTTTTTGTCTGTGTCAATTTACGTATAGTATTGAGAAAAATCGAATGGAATAATAAATATCGAGCTAGCTCTATTTCGTGAATACTTGCCAAATAGGAAGCAGTTTGTAAGTTCTGGGACGCCGCCTCTGACCATTTATATATGTATATATATATATATGAGCAGTAGTCATTGCCAAAGCCAACGTTGGACACAAAATACAATTAATTGTTAATTGGGAAATTGGCACATATATGTTATATACCTTTCTCCGCATGATAATTTTCTCTATGTAGATCCTTTGGGCTTGAAGTACCACAGCAAGTGGCTATAACCGGCCGCGTGGTTGTGGTTATTTGTCGCCTTGAAAATTCAAGGTCTTCGAGCCATTTTATACTACAATGTGTAGGTTGGCTCTTGTTGTGGACTTCGTGTGTCTTTTTTTTCGTCTCCATCTTCGTTTCCTCAGGTTACACCCGTATCCGGATGTGTGGGCATGTGTATCTACTTTTGTAGTTGCATATGTGCATTCATTTCGGGCCTGATGAAGCCAACCAGCAGAAATACGTATCGTTCGGGTTACCTATCCTATTTTCTGCTCGAATCCACTTTTTGCGGATTTTGCCCATTATTTTCCTATTTTAGTTATATACCTTTCTCCGCATGATCTCTATGTAGATCCTTTGGGCTTGAAGTACCACAGCAAGTGGCTACAACCGGCCGCGTGGTTGTGGTTATTTGTCGCGTTGAAAATTCAAGGTCTTCTAGCCATTTTATACTACAATGTGTAGGTTGGCTCTTGTTGTGGACTTCGTGTGTCTTTTTTTTCCTCTCCAACTTCGTTTCCTCAGGTTACACCCGTATCCGGATGTGTGGGCATGTGTATCTACTTTTGTAGTTGCATATGTGCATTCATTTCGGGCCTGATGAAGCCAACCAGCAGAAACACGTATCGTTCGGGTTACCTATCCTATTTTCTGCTCGAATCCACTTTTTGCGGATTTTGCCCATTATTTTCCTATTTTTGTTATATACCTTTCTCCGCATGATAATTTTCTCTATGTAGATCCTTTGGGCTTGAAGTACCACAGCAAGTGGCTATAACCGGCCGCGTGGTTGTGGTTATTTGTCGCCTTGAAAATTCAAGGTCTTCTAGCCATTTTATACTACAATGTGTAGGTTGGCTCTTGTTGTGGACTTCGTGTGTCTTTTTTTTCGTCTCCATCTTCGTTTCCTCAGGTTACACCCGTATCCGGATGTGTGGGCATGTGTATCTACTTTTGTAGTTTCATATGTGCATTCATTTCGGGCCTGATGAAGCCAACCAGCAGAAATACGTATCGCTCGGGTTACCTATCCTATTTTCTGCTCGATTCCACTTTCCTCCTTTTTGCGGATTTTGCCCATTATTTTCCTACTTGTTGTTTATATATATATATACATATATATGTATCAGTGACCTGCCCGCGATTATTGATAACGGATCCTGCTTCCTATTTGTACGCGATGAAACCTTGCTGTCTGACCAAAACACGGATATGGATAGTCTGGAACAAGCCTTAAATAAAACCGTGTTGAGAAACGTGACGGTGATAAATGATTGTTAAATGAAATTACTTACCTTTAGTTTTCCCGTATCGATGTTGTCAACAAATGTTTTCAATTTTTCCAATTTTTCGTCGGAAAACTCGCCCAGTTTTGTACGAGTTCGTATAGATGTAGGGTTGACTTCTACATCGTTTATAGCGTCGTTTATTTCTCGTTGTAGAGTTCTGATCGTCGACATGAACAACAAAATCGTCTTATTTTTCATGATGCTAAAATAAGCAGTAAGCATGGTCAGAACCAGCTGAAACTGTATTTTCCGATTTTTTATTATTGCAATGTGTAACTACGAGGATTGTCTTAAAAATAAGGTTCCCCACAAGAAGCGCCCTTCACCGCCGTCACTACAATGGTGAATTCGTTTTTTCAAATAAAAAATCATTGCGCCTGAAAAACAAGTGGGAATTCTACTTTTGAAACAACCCTCGTAGTAGCTTAGGTATAGTTCACGACAAATTCATCTGTTTACATTTTTTCTGCTTCTTTATGGAATATTCATCGTTGTTTATAGACAAAGAAACTTTCAAGAATAAGTAAATACATACCTCGGAGAGAGGAGCATCTTTCAAATTCATAGCAACTTTTTTTCTTATTTTTTTGATGTACGTCCTACCCCTTGTTGGCTTTTTAACGATCATCTATAACAAACTATAAATCCGACGTGAACTATATCTACCCTTCGTAATGGACCGCACATGAAGTAAGCACAACCTTTTTGCGAAATTTATCATTATTGGAGGAGCACTTTTATAAGTCGCGAAGGATATAATGTGCTTGACCAATAATAAATGCCCTTCTCGAACGAGGTATAGTTTTTCCACTACTAACATGCATCACAAAATATTCGGTCATAACATCTCCAGCTCATTCCACAAATACTTTAGAATAACTTATTACCTGGTGTCAAATAGAAAAACAAAAATGTTAGAGTAACAATTTATATGTATAAGTCAACGCCAAACAAAGTGGCGTGCACGTCATCAAGGTGGGTGTGTTGAAAAATTTACATTGTTGCCAAACTTTTTGTAAAATAATAAAATTTATTATTTACATATCTAGGTTTATAAGCAATATTAACCTCAAATGAGAACAAAAATAATAGTATAATAAAATTATAGATCTGTACTTGCATAATCATTAAGTATGACAATTATTGATCAGATGACACTATGAAACTACCATATTTAATTGATAGCTTAAAGGTACTGAATAAAAATCCAAATGGGGTCCTCCAAATTTTATGCATGGTATTTATTTTACAGAATTCATACAGAAAAATGCATTCTAAAATTAGGTAAGCTACTGGTGTAAGCTTTTTCTGTACAATAAAGTTAGTCGGAGTTTCTTTCTTCAGCGCTGTCTGAATCTGAATCTTCATCACTCTCAAAGTTGATTATTAAAGGTTCGATGTCTGGTCGATCAAAAATTCGTTCTCTTTCATACCATTTAAAAATTTCTTGCTCAGTATGTCGAACACTATTTTTCCACATGTTTGGGGTAACCGTTTGTAGAGCCTCGTTCCACATATCCAAACAGTCTTTTTCACTGTTACCATCTCTACCAATATGTCTGTTATAGTAACCTTTTGCTATGCCCCAAATTAACTCAATAGGGTTAAATATACAATGGTAAGGAGGCAGACGAAGAACTTTGTGCCCATGTTGTTCCGCCAATTCATCAATCACGTATATTTTAGGTGGTTTGTTTCTAAAAAAGCAGTTATTTTAAGAATAGGAATAAACAAAAGAAATATAAACTGTCGACCAAAATATATATAATTAAGAAGCATTATGTACCGAGCAACAATACTCAATAGCTCTGTTTTAAACATTGTGTTTAAAAATGGTATGTTTTGATTTGTCAACCAGTCTTGCATATTTTTTTTTGTCCATGCATTGTTGGGCACTTTGTTCAATATCATGCTGTGATAAGGGGCGTTATCCAGTATAATCATAGATGGACTCTCCAATTTTTCTAATAACTGATGTTGAAACCATTTCAAAAAATTGTCCTGGTTCATCTCTCCATGGTAATCACTCAATTTTGTTTTCGAAGAAAATATCGCTTCACTACCCTCAATAAACCCATTTTCATTTCCAGCATGTAATATAATGTATCTAAAATATATTAGTTTTAAATTTTATAGTGCAAATTGTGTAAAAGTACATACCTTTTACCATCTGTTTTAATAGCTTTCACGCTTTTTTGGTTTCCATTTTGCCAAGAGCGACCTATGGTCCCATTTTGAAATATCCAAGTTTCATCGAGGAAGACAAACTGGTATAAGGCCTCAACCTTGGCTTGATTGTATTGCCTTAGAAATTCCACCCTTTTCAAAGCTATACTTGGTAGTTCCATGAGCCCTCGTCGCGGATTGTCCTTAAGCCACTTAAATCCAAGATCTCTAAGCAACCGCCTTAAAGACGTGGCACTACCATCAAATAATGCCCTATCTCTTAATCGAGACCATAAAGTTTGTATCGTAACTTGTTCTTCTGAAACCATGTGTAATATGACATTATAATTTAGTTAACAAATTAATGCAAATTTCTGATAAGTTATTATAATAAGATCTTACTTTTGTGATACATATTATAGATCACTTCTCGAATGGCACTTGTATCCAATGTCGCTGTGTTGGTTACACGTTTAATATAACTCCGCTTTTTCTTGGGCGATTCTAAATTTGCATCACTTTTCACACCCTCGGAAATACGACTAACTGTGCTTAAACTAATTTTTAAAGCAGCAGCAACACGCTACAAAAAATGAAATAAAATTTCACTATTATTAATATACATTACATATAATTATTAGTAACCTACCTCTTGAACAGCATTTAAAGGCAACAAAGGCCCGTTGTTGTCCCTTTCTTGCTCAAAGTAGTGCATTAACGAGGCCACGAGTTCCTTACACCGACTATTTAACTGTTTGGGCATCTTTATATACCAAAATTGCCTTTATCTACTCGTAAAATGAATAATTTTGTTTTGAAACAAACAGTTGTTGATTTACAGTATGCGGGGCCAAAGGATTTATAAAGATTTGAAATGCCACAAATTGATTCAGTGTCAAAATTAATACAAATGTCAGTTCCCAGTTTAAATAAGTTTCAAGGTGACAATGTGTCAACGCTGCGAAATCGGTTTAGTGCGTTTACATGTCGATAAGTGATTGGAGCGTTTGCAAAACATTTTATTTCGCATAATGCGTCTAAATTTATCAGAAAGCAACTTATGTGATATTTTAATAACAATGTTTATATGACTATTAACCATAATAAGAGAGTAATGACCATTTTACAATTTATATATCACATTAATATGAAACTGCAATAGAGCAATTGTTTGTGATAGAAACCTAGGCATTAGGTCGGGGAATTTTTATCGTGATGACGTGCACGCCACTTTGTTTGGCGTTGACTATAGAAATATCACAGTCTTTCTGAAGGAGAGGAAAGACTATGAAACTCAAGGAGGAAAGAAAAGCGTCCTACAATGCGATTTAGTTTCAACTGGGCCATCCAAGTGGAGTAACGTATAAACATTTTCTCTTTGTTAATATTAAAAGCAGTTTTCAAACATTATCGATTATTGGGGTATTCAAGAAGGAATAGCTATACTCAAAATTACTTGTTTCTCAATCGTTCTAACAGTTCAGACACAGGTTTTTTGTTTTTATTATTTATCTATGGAGAGAAAGTGCTACTTCTCAATCAGGCATTGCGATCAATAATGATTTCTCTGGTTAGTAGTGAAAAAAAAAATAATAAATAAATCTTTTTTTTTGAGGTGATATATGTATCCACTTACGGATGTATAAGTGACAGCGTTTCACGTTGTAGGTCACCTCCGTCTTTTGTCTGGAAACAAAAAGCCAACATCTTGGTAATTAAATAGAAGTACTACAATTTGTACAGTACGTGATTCACAAATTCAACCAATGAGAAGCCGTCTTAGATCTAATTTATTAATGTGGTCGATTTCTTCTAAAATGTCTCTCAAACTAGAGAATTATTCGGTTTGTGTACGATGGGTCTTTAATTCCCATATGATAATCAAGAAATACGTTATGAAGCACTTGATTTAGCTACAAAAAGTTAATTTGCATCCGAACATCAAATTACCGGCCAATATGTTACACCGGTTCCTTGAATTAAGATGCATATCGAAAATATGCGTTAGTTTATTCTGTACGCCCAAATTTTAGACCGGACAGGATCGCCACAAATTCTGCATACTTGCATTATTGGTTCATTTGACAACACCGCATCTTGTGCGTTCCATGATACACCTTCTAACCTCCATGATCATAGTTGAGCATGGGGAGTCAACTCATATGGGAGAATGGTGCGGTGTTGCCGGACCACAACCTGACAACACTGTGGCATCCGGAAAAAATGCCAGCTTTGACAAGTATGCTTTGTTGCTGTCATTTTTAGGTTACATGGATGGTCTCGAAGGTAGGTTTTTCGTAAACACAAATTTTATTAAAGTCGTTCTTATTTAAACTAAACATGCTGGTGAAATTGTATAAGAAACTCATTTTTTTCTAGGTGATTGTAATCAATAAACGGAGCATCCTGATCCCTTGCAAAAGGGTTTAGTGATAGAGAGATTCTATATCGGACTATATCAAGATCAGACTAGTGTTTTCTCGACAATTGAGTAGGCTTCAGAACCATGGCTAGTGTGTTTCACAATCAAGTTCATGCTGAATTGAGTGATTTGTAGAGCTGTTAATATCCTTATGCTGTAGTTGATATGAGAATCTCACGACAATTTCCGTGGATTTCAAGTTTGAATATGTACTTCAACATAAAGGGTTTTGTTACTTTTTTAAATATTGATTGCTTAAAAGGAATCTGATAAAAGTGAATCGAAAGTCAGATATCCTGATAATATATCGTCAACCTGTTTGAATCATACGAAGTACGATATATTTTAACGATGCTGTAAAAATTCCTAAATTATGTATAATGATATTTTACACAAAACTTTTACATTTTGATTATCAGTGTTATGGAAATGTGATTAGATATTCCTGCATTATAATTCTTATGAAAAATCTGGCAACCATGCTGTCATTAATTATATTCTTTATGAACATTTTAGACAAAAATACACATATTTTTAAAAATAGATTTTTTTTACTGTTCTCAAAGTGTCAAATAACTAGGATATTTGGATGATTTTATAACGGCCTGTGTTATTGATGCTGCTGATTTAACAAATAAGTAAAAAACAACAGTAGATGGTCTATGGGGATTAGATCTCAGTAGTTCCAAAATCCGCCACCAGAGGCGCTGGCGTCGCGCGCCATTGATAGGTTGTTGGACGGAATCTGTAATCGAAATTCATGAGTTGGGGATTCCGCCGCTAGATGGCGCTGTCAAACCAAACGGAATCTGTGTGTCATTGGACACCTGTCATGCGTCATTGGGCATCTCACGCATAGATGGCGTTACACGTCATCTGCCATACGTCATTGGACACCTGTCATTGATGGGTTGAGCATCTCGCGCATAGATGGCGCCGATTTGTTTGGCGGTGTACAAACCTAACGGAATCTATGTGTCATTGGACAGCTGCCATTGATGGGTTGGGCATCTCGCGCATAGATGGCGCCGATGTCGCACCTGTCAGGTGTTGGCGTGGATTACGGGGGGCATTCAGAACGTGTATACAGGGGTGCATCGAAAAATAGCGGATCGATGGACCGACGGTATATGGTTAAATCGTATATAGCAAGGCGTGACCTAAATAGCGTGGTGGGCTCCTCTGGATGCTCAACCCATCAATGACAGGTGTCCAATGACGTATGACAGATGACGTGTAACGCCATCTATGCGTGAGATGCCCAATGACGCATGACAGGTGTCCAATGACACACAGATTCCGTTTGGTTTGACAGCGCCATCTAGCGGCGGAATCCCCAACTCATGAATTTCGATTACAGATTCCGTCCAACAACCTATCAATGGCGCGCGACGCCAGCGCCTCTGGTGGCGGATTTTGGAACTACCGAGATCTAATCCCCATAGACCATCTACTAACAACAAAAATAAGTTAATAACACATAGCGTTATAAAGTCTTCCATATATCAATAGAAATGAGCACTATAAAATTATACCACAGTCTTAGATTTTTGCGAAGAGCCGGCAATATTGCATGCGGCGTTAGTGCACAATCTGGAAACCATGTGGCATCAAAAAAATGGCGATTGACACTGACATAATGCAACCGTTTTGCCCTATGATAGCACATGAGTAAACCTTCTCCAGTGTATATTCT